TTTTTGTTTTCTAGTTATTTTTATTTGCAAATAAAGACCCGCATGCAGCCCCAAAGGACTTTTTCTTTTGTTTTCTGGCTTTTTGGAACAGACACGCAAAAACCACTCACTTATGTAATTTTGCATGCAAAAAGAAGCATTTCAATAAATGTTTTTATTTCCATACATATGCATGCATTTATTTGTTTGGAGATGTGCAACTGAAGCAAAAAGAAATTCTTAAATTCTTTTCAATGCGCAGAAGCAAAGTGTGGGTCCCAGGTGTACGTACAGTAGAGTGGGCGCAGCTAGAACGTCTCCTAAATAATAAATTGAGTCAATTTACCTTTTTCTTTGTCATTGCAAGTGGTTCTTTGCATTATGTACCTTTTGAACTTTTAGGATTCATTTAGACGCACGCTTTTTACTTTTTTACCTTTTAATTTATCATTTATTTATTTATTGAGTAACTTGATTGGTATTTATGCATTTATTTCGCTATGTATTCAGGTGTACATACCCGCAAGTGCATGCAGCTCTATTTCACTTACATCTTTCCATGCATTTAATCCATGCGCGTGCACAAATGTCCTTCAAATAAATAAATAAATACAAATAAATAAAAATAAACATTGTATTCAAACATATGCACATATAAGTACCAATATATATATATGTATAGTATATATAAAACCGCGCATGCATGCACAACATACAGGCAAAGATGAAAAGACAATCTATAAATATCAATAAAAGTGTAAATATAAACATTTGATTGTATTTCTTGTTCAAAAGTTTGTGGAAAAACAAAAGGAATAGACAATTTCGCTGCGCGAAGATTTTCTTTGGGGCCTGGCTGAGGTGTACATACAGCTTAGACGGCGGTGTACGTACACCGCAGCCAGGCGCCAAAGGTGCTTTCAAAAAGGCACAAATAAGGGCATTTTAGCATCTAAATAAGGGCAATTATATATTTAAGGCAATTTTAAATAAACCCTAAACCCTAAACCCTAAACCCCAAACCCTAAGTGCATGCAGTCACTCCTTTATCGCAAAAGCAACACCCAAGCAGAGCCCCATAAGCATTTGCAGATTTATCATATTCTTGAACACACATATAATTCTTTATGTATTTGCATCTATTTTTGTTTATTTATTTATTTATATTCTTGTACACATTTATTCTTTATATTTTCACATTTATGTACACATTTATGTTTGTATATTATATATAGATGAAAAAGCACATCTATAAACCCATATCCATATTATAAATACATGTAGATATATATATATAAAATATACAAACGTTGTACAATATTAAATAGATAATTTGTAAATATTATAATAATGTTATACAATGTATATATATATATATATACTTTGTACATGTGCATGCATGTGCAAATTGAGTAAATAGAGCCGCACATGCAAACTCTTCTGAACGAACACCTAGCTCTAAATTTGTATTTGAATGCATGCATCTGCATGCGCGCAAGTGGCCTTAAAAATACATAGATATCTTTATACATATAAGCCCGTGCGTGCACGCATGCATGCATGCATGCATGCTTGCATGCATGCATGCATGCTCGCATGCATGCGCGGGTCAGTTTCACTTTTTGCAGGAGTTGCTGAGTTTCGGGGCTGCATGCAGCTCCGCGTCAAGAAGTCGTTTTGTGTTTGCGATTTGTTAGCATTTGTTAGTCGCAAATGGATTAAATGGATTAGGGCGGCCAAATGGACTTCCTGTTCGCAGCGGCGGGGTGTACGTACAGCCGGGCCAGCGGGGTGTACGTACACCCGGGCCTGCGGGGTGTACGTCGACCGGGGGTTTGGGGTGTCTGTACGGGCTGGTTTTGGGGTGGTTTTGGGGGCAAAATGTGTGGGTTTTGTGTGGGATTTGTGCGGAGTTTCGGCGGGAAAGTGGTGGCCCAGTAAAGGCGAAGTTGTCGTGTTTACTGGTGCTTGTTGGAGTTGCTTTTGCGGGTTTTGTGGGAGTGTTTTTTCCTGAAGAGGCGGCGCCAGGGCCTGCCGCTGCTGCTGCGGGGGCCCCTGCTGCTGCGGACGCGCCACAGCAAGTAGGCGAGAAACAGCAGCAGCATGAGCCCGAAGACCAAGTAAGAAATTCCCAAGTACAGAGAGCCCCCGCCCAAGGGCGAGGGGGCCACAAGCAGCAGGGCCTTGCGGCCCCCCCAGGGGCCCACGTCGTAGCTGATCGACACGTAGGCGTAGAGGGGCAGCAGCAGGGGCCCCTGGAGCTTGCCGTAGAGCTTTTTGAACTTGGGCAGAGCTGCCTGCTGCATCCAAGTTATGAAGTGGGTGTTTTCGACCATTTGGCCCGCCTCTGCGAAGTTCAGAGCTTCGTGGATGGCCCACGCGAGGCCCTCCTCGGGCTTGCCTCTGCCGTCCCTTCCGTCTTCATTATCTTCGACGCTCATCCAGAAGTAGACTTGGTCCCTGGCGGCGGCGCGGGCCTCGGCGGAGGGGTTCTTGTAGAGGCGGGCGGCGCCGCGGGGGC